AAACTGATATTAATATATTTTAAATTTTAATACTAATTTAATTCAAAAATTTATACTTCTAAATTATGAGTTGACTCAAATCTTTGAATTTCTAGCAACCGACCCGATGAATAAGTATTTTTTTAATTTAATATATATTTTCAACAAGATCACAACTTCTCAAGAGTTTTTCTAAACCTCTCTTTTTTTGTCGTCACACTCATCGAGCTAATTGTATAATTTTTTTATACTTTTACTCAATTAGCATAGCATCATAATCCTTATACTTTAAAGAGTTATATTTGGGACATTGTTACAAAATAGAATTGAATATATTGATTTGCTGTAACTTTTTATGATGTAAAGATCAAGTGGCATAAAATCCGTTTAATTAAATTTATCTTTTTCTGAATATTTATATCCATCTGATCCATCTAAATTGCATTCTGAGATGATCTTAAGCAGAAGAATAAATATTGAAATGGACTCTAATCAGATTCAAATTTGAATAGAGTAAAATTTTGTAAGGGTCAAACACTAACCGTTGCCACAATTCTACATGCCGCGAATGGTCAACGGTCAACTTCAAATTTGAAGCGGTGGGAGATCAACCGTTCACGCGTCTTACGATTCGCGCAAATTCCTGACTCGATAGATTGTGCAGCATCCAATGAGAGGGAGATGCGCCACGTGCTCCTTTTGGTGCGTACAGTGTGTGGGCCCATGAAAGATGTGCGAGGCTTCTGAGTCGCTGCTGATATCGAAGTCGCGTCAACAGATGATTGGAATACTAACATTCAAGCGTTTCGATTGATCGAGATGGGTACAGAAGGGATAATGGGCAGATATGTTTCTGGGGTTACAGGTGGGAGTGGCACCCACTGTGACTTGGAGAATGGCTGGAAATGGAAATCAGCAGCAAAATCCAAATTTGATGGTAAAGTTGCAATCTTTTTGTGGCTTTGGTGGTCCTCGATTCGGGTTTATAAGGATCCTGCAATGAATTTGATCTGAGTAGATGATGAGTTCCTTCTTCTCTTTCACTGTAATTTTCTTTTTGTTGTTTTTGCCACCCATGATTAGCTGTCCTCTGCTGATGTTTCTTCGCTTCCGTCTTTAAGCTCTGAATCGTGCTTCCTCCTCTTGGATTCTTAGATTCTTCTCGAGGGAGGTGTCGAGTTCCGGTGACAGAGTGGTGACTGTTAGCAAGCTCGTGTTATCTTGAGGAGAAAGATGAGATCTTTAAGCGGTTTGGGGATCGGCGTAAGCGTCGTCTCAGGTTGCCTGTTCTTGGCTCTTGTTGCAGAGCTGTGCTACTTGTTCTGGTGGAGGAAGATAAGCGATGGAGACATGGAGGACCGCTGCAGGGCTTGTTTGCCTGCCAAAGGACTTGTTCACCTCTTCTGCTGGAAGAAGCCACATTCCTTGAGCTTCGCAGCACCCGACCGAGTGGATGTAACTTCTTGTTCCGATGAGGGACAACCGGAAGGCAAAGACCTCCTTCTGAATCCACTCCGTCGGGAGGATACCGTGGAGGCGGAGCTGATGAGGTTTCATGGTCTCCCAGGGCCTCCCAGACTCCTCTTCACCATTAAGGAGGAATCGAAGGAGGATTTGGAGTCCGAGGATAGCATGTCCAGAGGTGGGAGGAGCAGGAAAGGTTCCCGGAGGAAGAGCTTGAATGATCTGTTCCTGTCTTCGGACACCCCGTTCATGACACCGCTCCCTTCTCCTCCTCTTTTCTCTCCGGCACCGACTCCCTTCGATTGCTACAAGCGAAGTGGATTCAACCCCCTCTTCGAGTCCTCCAAGGAAGAAGATTTGATCAGGATGTGGTCGTCGCCACCTCCCAAGTTCAAGTTTCTCAAGGACGCCGAGGAGAAATTACACAGGAAGAAGCTGATGGGAGAAGAGACTGGTCATCCTTCTCATCCTCCTCCTCGAGCTATTTCACGTCCCACAGTCCCAGAAGAGGAAGATGGATCTTTCATCACTATAGTCATAGGAAAGAACAGAGACAGAGGTCAGCAACACCATCCTTGCTCCTCACAGGTGACTCCAGTACCTTCGTCTCCTTCAAGCATCAAACTGCTACATGGGAATCACAGTCACTAATTCCTCATCAACAAAACTCGCATTATGGCAGTGAATTTAGTAGCCACATCAATTCTTTTGTGATGTACTCTCTCTCTCTCTCTCTCTCTCTCCACTTTCACTCAAAATCATTATCTTTTGCTGGAGCGAGTGGAAGTCATCAGACACCTCTTTTTCCGGCTTCCATGTGATGGTGATGTGTAGAGTTGGCGTGCAGGTAAGGCATCAAAATGTTGCATCGTTCACGCCACCTTTTGCTTTCGGTGGGCTGAGCTTGCAATCATTCCAGTGGATGGTTTTGTAGCGCTATGCCTTCCCTATCCTTTCATCTGCTTCGAGGAAACAGAGTGCTTTCCCCTCCATTAAGTCTTTCACAGTGATGGATGGATGATTTTGGCGTGTTCTTCCTTTGTTTTGCTTGTCATCTCCGCGAGTGAATGATTTGACGACTCCTTGGCCTTTGGCAGCAGTGGTGGGAGATGGGAAGGCCACACGAGTAAGAAGATGTTCATCGCAGTAGTTCTACTGTTGCTGTTGTACACATCTCCTTCTTCCTAAGTCTCTGTAGCATCGAACAGCGTGGAAATATACATCTTCGTCTTGCTAAGTCGTGTTGCAAAGGTTGAAGGACAAAATGAGCAGCGTCAGCAAAAGCATTCACGAAACATGTCGTCGTGCAACTTTGACGTTTCCAGCTCGGCATATATGGATACTGGCAGCTTTGGGACACGTAAGGAAGTGCACACGAGAGAGGAAGGAAAAAGGACAATTTTCTCGAAAGAAAAAAAAAAATCTTATTTTAAGAAATTTTTAGTTAATATTTTCTTTTTCAAAAGTTTTTTTTTCTTAAAAGATGATACTATCTTCGTAACTTTCATCTCATCGGATCGGGTCGGGATGATGGAGATAGTGGTCGAGGAGGCCATTGAGGTGATAACAAGGACGATGAGGATAGTGGGACGGGGACGATGGACTTGTGCGTCTTGGACATCGCCTTCGTCCCATGGAGGGAACAACAAAGGTCGTTTGACGTTCTAGTCATCACCTTGGTGGAGGGGGTTATCAGAGTCATCAATCTTTATGGAGGGGGCCATAGGTGAGAATGGCAAGGGCAAAAGTCGCGTGGGCATGGTGACGACGATAGAAAAAGAGGGGACAAGAAGCGAGGGTAAAAGGCGATGGTGTGAGATAGAGGCGATGGCAAATAGGGTGGAGGTTAGGAGGGCAATATCATCTTTAAAAAAAAAAAGGAGTGCTCTAAGAAATTTTTTGAAAAAATGAATGTTAACCGATAATTTCTCAAAATAAAAAGCCTTTTCTACAAAATTGTCTAAAGCAAAAAAAAAAAAAAAAAAAAGCCAAACAACGTGGACATAAAAGGAAATGAACAGAAAAGACATTCTTTATATATCATGACATTCTCCTAGTGATTTTATTATATTATTATTTTGATATTAATTAAACATTATATCTACCATTCCTCTCCATGTTTAAATATCTACCATCAAGAATGTGATAAATCTTATCCCCACACCACCAATAATGATTCGACCATGAATTATCTTTCCTAATAAGAAATATAACTCAAATTATGTATGTACACTTTCTTGGTTTCATCCATCGGGTCCAATCTCTCACCAAGATGATGCTATAATTGAGGAAGTGATTGATGAAATGCGTCATGTCATGTAGGGTTCCTATCAAATCTCATGATCTCTCGTTACCAAACTTTCAACATGCTCTAAAAAAAATTAAAATTGGCCTCAAAATTTACGATAATAGATTGATGCTAGAAAAAGGATTAAAATATCATAAGAAATCATATTGAGATTTTGTATGATCATTCAAAAGATCCTATGCCTCAATCAAGAATGGGGTTGGCAAACCATTCTTCTCATTGTTTGAAACATCTAAGCATCAAGAATGGGTAAGCATCTATGTAAGTAAATCTTGTACCCACACCACCAATAATGATTCCTTCATGACCATGGATTCTCTTTCCTAAAAGAAGTTTAACTCAAATTACTGTACATGTTTCATCCATAAGGTCATGTCTCTCACCACCAAGATGATGCTCTACACCATCTCCTTCTCCATCACTGACATAACTGGCATCAACATAATAGAATGATACCTCATAAGATGAGTTGCAAAGATTAAAGAGATTTTTGATAGGAATCTCCAACTTTTGTTACCCCCAACTTTGAAATTTTTTTATCTAAGAATTGGACCTTGTGGAGTATGTGTTACTCCCACCGTAATAAGTCCTTAAGAAGTCTACGTAGGTTATTCCTCTACTTGTATTACACAAAGGTATTTTTATTAGTCTAAAAGAAAAAAAGTGAGAAGATATCCCGCACAAATCTCTACCCGGTATATTATAATTAATACTGAGTTATTTGGATGAAGATGGGGCTAATTATATATTTTTCACCTTTAATTAACTTTTTATGATCTCATTGGTTGTTTGCGGATCTTATTATCAAGAAGTGTATCCATGACCTCTTGTATCAATTTCTTTTGATACATTACTAATTTTTCAGACGTAGATCTACTTATTACTAATAGGTCGATAAGAGTATTATTCCGATAGATAGCTCGTGTATAGAGTCTACTAATATCCAATTCATCCTTATATATATTAAAAATTATTAAAAATTATAAAATTATTAATCAAATCAAATTAATTGATGTTGAACCGATTAGGTTAGCTAAATTCAAATCAATTCCATACATATGCATGCATCTGCTATGTACTCACCTAACTAAGCATGGTCGGCTACGTATGTACTCACCCAACAACTACGGCAGCATGTTTGGTCTGCGGATTGTTTCTGGGTAAAGAAGCATCAAAATGGTGTAGATGTCTGAGGCTATCAGCAGCAACACGTACACAATCATTTGTTTAGATGGAGCGTTGAGGTTTGAGACGAGAGGGAAGAAGAGAGCGTGCGGCCACGACTCGAAGAGGCAATATTGCATTGCCTCGTTGCATTCTTATATCATTGCCCGCAGCATCGTGTGGAGAGAAAACGAGACAGCAAAGGCACCTCCATGAGGAAGCTGTGCCCGAACCTGGACCGAGAAGATGGACTGGACACCGTCCTCGAAGTGCCCCTCCCGGAGGAGATGTTCCTCTCCGGCGACAGCTCCAAGAGCAGCAAGATGCTCTGCATCAACGTGAAGGCGTGGATGCGGCCGCACGCCGACCCGTCCCCGCCGTGGCCCGTTGGCCGGGAGGCCGAGCTCCAGCTCCCGCTCCTGCTTGGTATCCTCGGCGCCCCGCTCGTCCCGTTCCCCGTCCGGTCACATAAACCCACCCTCGTCCGCGGCATGAAGGAGGCCCCGATTGTGAGACTCCGATCTCGGTGCTTCTCGACATGGACAGATACAGTGCTCGTCTTGATGTGGTGTCTTACGCGGTTCTCCTTTTGCGTGGATGGCAGGAAGTCTCCATGGCTAAATATATCCTGCAGCAATACATCGCGGCGTCGGGAGGGGAGCGAGCGTTGAACGCGATAAACAGCATGTACGCCATGGGGAAGGTCCGGATGATGGCGTCGGAGTTCCCCAAGGGGAACGGGGGCGGAAAGAGGGGCAAGAAATGTGGCGGCGCAGTGGAGACGGGCGGGTTCGTGCTGTGGCAGAAGAAACCAGACCTGTGGTGCCTGGAGTTGATGGTGTCCGGGTGCAAGATCAGCGCCGGGAGCGACGGCAAGGTGGCGTGGAGGCAAACCCCATGGCACCAGTCTCACGCCTCCCGTGGCCTACCTCGACCTCTTCGCCGATCTCTTCAGGTTCGCCACCGCACGCTCTCTCTTCCTTAATGTTCTTCTGTCCTTGGCTGCCATGGCGCAGCTAAGATTCACATAAAACCGGAAAAGTCTAACCAACACCTTCTTCATCGTCTGTCACAGGGTCTTGATCCGAGATGCGCGGCCAACTTGTTCGCCAACTCGGTGTGCCTCGGGGAGAAGACGATCAACAGGGAGGACTGCTTCGTGCTAAGGCTGGACGCGGAGGCCGCCACCTTGCGAGCCCGAAGCAGCAGCGGCGTGCAAATCATACGGCACAGCTTGTGGGGGTACTTCAGCCAGCGGACGGGCCTCCTCGTCCAGCTCGAGGACTCCCACCTCCTCCGGATCAAGTCCGCCCAGGAGAACGTGTACTGGGAGACCACCATGGAGTCGCTCATGGAGGACTACCGCCCCATCGACGGCGTCAACATCGCCCACACCGGGCGAACCACCGTGTCCTCGTTCCAGTTGGGCGAGGCCAGCGAGGGTCACACGCGGACGCGGATGGAGGAGACATGGACCGTGGAGGAGGTGGACTTCAACATACGGGGGCTCTCCAAGGACTGCTTCTTGCCACCGGCGGACCTGAAGCTGGCGGGGCGACGGCCATGAAGTGTGCTCGCACACGCTTCGGGGGCCAACCTGCCGTTGCTAGGATCAGACTGTCGTAGGTGGCCGTAGATGAACAATTCGATCACTGTCAGTACATACTGCACCAACGTATACAGTTTTTAGTGTGCTAATTAATTTAAGATGCAAATGAATCATAATTCAGCCAATGTCAAAAGGTCAAACCGGAAGATATCATGGCATTACACGTCGAGATAGCTAAGAACATACAAACGACATTAATACTCTACACTCACGTATTAATGCAGCAAAAGTACGGTGGATTAATCAACATAAGCTATTAAACCACACTGCTTGCTGTGGGATCAGTGCTGATAGATTACAACTTCGAAAGGAACATCTCTTCACAGTATCGAGCACCTATTAAGTCCAAGAGCCGCGATGATTCTTCTACCAGAAGGCCATAAGCGACCAAGAAATCCTATCCGTTCAGGTTCAGGTTCAGGTTCACGTTCATGTTCACTGTCAGTCACACCCCCATCGAGATCGGTCTTACTGATATCCTTTTCTGAGCCTGAATTCTCAATTTCATTCTCTGCTTTATCTGGAATCTTGTCGTCTTTCACATCACCTCCAACTTCAGCGATTTCTCCGGGCTTCCTGTCAAAGAGCCCTTTGAATTGCCTCTTTGCCTTCTTATCTTCCTCCTGATTCAACCAAATGCACTAATCAGTTGATCAATGTTTATATAAATATGAACACTTTATGTACCACCAGCCAAATACCTGTTCCTTTTGCTTCAGCTTTAGAAGGGCCGCAGTAGCATCAGGTTCTGAAGATTTATCAATGCTGATCATCTGGAAGGTTCATTACATGAGCAGATATTGGTTTTTGTTCTTAAGATATCAAATGAAGGGAAGACACAGAGCAGGAAGGGGCATGACTGCACCATTTCAAAATCTTTCTTCGCTTCATCAGAATCTCCAACTAACATGTAAGCCATGCCACGCCGATACAACGCTTTGACATGTACGGGACTAGCATCTAATACCTGCAATTGGAATCGACAAACAGCAGCTCAAATTCATCATAAATTATGCCATGCTAACGTGAACCTCAATCAAAACACAGAAGTTGCACAAGAAGCAATATACAACAGATAGTTGATGCACAACCTGATATTAGTGCTCCAACTAGGACAGACAGCAAAACAATCTACCGACTAAAAGCAATACACTGACTGACACAAGATCCAAGTATCATTTAAAATAAGCCCAGTTAACTTCCCTAGTTTCTCAATTGAGTTGTGCCTAAGCTACCCCCTTAAGAATTTGCCGTATAAGGTTGAAATTCATATAATCCAACTAAATATTTGACTAATCATACACCGGCATAAATGTTAGATTTCATTCAGAGGCTGCAACCAATACTCCAAATAGCAGATGCTAAGGAAATAAAACCTTTCTCCCACTATTCCACTTGTCAAACACTTTGAACGGATCTCGAGCTTGAACTGCTTGGGCTTGACTAAATTTCGCTGTCATCATTCCCATGGAAGTTGGCTTGTCTTTGGCCAGATTTGAAACCAGGATTGATTATGCTTAATTTAGTGAACAGTAAATCAAGTTTAATACATCTAGGCTGAAAATTAATATTCAGCATTTAGGTTAAATGGAAGTTATCAAGTAAATCAAACAGGCTCGTGTTTGGTTAGCATTGAAACTTAAATATTAAGTCAAGTTTCACTAATATTGATTTCTGGACTGGTTTCAACCGATTGTCACTCAAAAATTGAAACAACGCATTACAAGAGTCCTTGAATCTACCATTCAGCATGAGGCAGTCAGTGTCTCAACTCTTCTTTACACCAGTTATAGACTAGTCAGATTGTTAAAAATGATAAATATTTCATTCTTTAATCATAGCAAGTCTAAGATGATCATGAATTTCCAGTAAATTCTTCAACAGAGACTCTGAATATCAAACTCCATTACTCTGAAAAATCCTGTGGGTATTTGTACGCATGAATTTTGTTGCCAGAACTCAAAAAATATAATAATTTACCTTATTGCATGTCTCAATTGATTTTCTAAATTCACCCATTTTCTGGTAACAGGCTGCAACATTCAAATGCAATGAATTCTGCAAGCATCATCAAAAGGAGAACTATAAAATTATACCACAGATTTCCAAGACAGTAACATTTGGCTGATAGATATTGCCTGACTAGAGTACAGAATTGTCTCACTCTTGAATTCAAAAAGATTTTTCCTTCATCATCGTCTTGTGGATTTACATGATTATATTCCCGAAGCACCTGAAAATAATAAAAAGAAATAAGTTTTCCCATGACATGATTAATAAAGACTAGGTCACTAGACCACATATAAACTAGAATAGATCTGTTTTTCTTTTACCAGGTATTTTGTAGCACTACCAATATGCTATCAAGTGAACTATACATGAGTAAAACCCTATTTTAATAAGATGATATCAATACTTCCAAGGATGAGATAGTTGACATGGAGCATATTTTTCATGTTATCAGTACAAAACACATACCATTACCAAATTTTCTTGATGAACAACAGGATCTCTAGAAGCAGCATTTTGTGATTTTAACAAAATTAAAGAGAGAACAATAAACTAAAAGAAAAATATCCATCAAAGATCACGGTATCATGTAAAGTGAAAATAAACAATCCAGAAAAAAGAAAAGCACACCTTTTGTTTGTTAGCTTGAGAATGCACAGAGCCAGAGTATGGATGATTTTCAGTAAACAAACCAAAAACACAGTAATACAAATGCATGTAAATAGAGTGATCAAAAGAGAACAGCCAGGAAAGAAGGTACAACATGACCTTTTGAGGACTACACTTTATATACAAATGAAGCAAGTCATTCAAAGTTCACCAATACCCAAGACATCATAGTTTATCAAAATATGCAGCAACACAATCAAATAAATTTCAATTATAAGATGGATAACTTTGAAGTACATTAAATACTAAACAATACCAAGGGGATCATACCTTCTCATACTTCGCTTTAGCAAGTTCATACTTCCCTTCTTTAAATAGCCTGTTTCCCTGGAAGCAAAAAAGAAAACAATCAGCAATCACCATTTTTTAGGTACAGTAGTAACCATCATTCTTGTGTAAAGATTGAGGAACTCTATACAGTCAAAAGCTGGCCTCTAATACTTCTTTTGTAAAAGGTAACAGAGCACCAATATAAAGATAACAAATGAAGAGCCTAAAAGTGGCATTTTTAGCCTGTTATTACAAAAGGTTAAAAGGGCCTGGCGTCTATTTGGCTGCCAGAATAAACATATTAATGAGATATAGAATACCAACTTAATTCAAGTGAAGCATGCATATAATATACTTCGAACATTTTAAAACCAATTAATGTTCTATAAGTGCTAGAATGGAATACTTCTATAGTTGAATGGATTTGAATAAAAGGATCCGTAAAATATTTGACAAAAGCATGTAAACTACAACTTCAAGGGAGGAAGATCGAATAGTCAAAATACATACTGTGTTTTTTATGTGCTCCGCATCATCCATAATCTCTTGAAAAGACAATCCAGTCCAATCCTGATGCCATATATGTATTAAAGGTCAGTGACGTGATTCAAAAAAACGAAAAAAAAAAAAAAACAGACTGAATGAGAGCTTTGTTGAGACCAATATCACTGATGAAACCAATTTCAGTGTTCTTTGCATGATCAGAAATCTTACTGAGCTTTGTTGAGACCAATATCACTGATGAAACTAAGAGCTATCAAAACCTTTATTATCATTACTAATAATACTCTTAGGTCTTCCTCCACCTCTTTTTGCACCACTAGTTCAAACCAACCTATGGTTGACTATTAATAACGAGGTTTAAGAGTATATCCTAGTATGTTAAGACCTATTCCATATAATTGTGAATTTTAACAATAAATGAGATACATGCCAAGGCCTCCTCATACAGGTTTCCTGGAATTATGCTCACATAAAAACCCAAAGATTTTCTGATGTCAATGGCAGTATCTTCATGAAGTGTTCAAAATCTTGAGCGAGAGGCTGCAATACTCGAATAGTGTTGTATCAAAGACAAATGAGAAGAAAACCGTACACAAATGGATCATGAACTGAAATGCAATATTATTGGTAACTTAAACTTGAGATGTCATTCGTGTAATCTGTCAACATTATCATGAAAGATGTTATATATCCACCTTCATTGAAGGATAAAGCAGAGTGAGTTGCATGCCAAAGAAGTGATCTTTGTGAGTACTCTAGTGCATCTATAAAATCAGATAAAAGAATCAAAATTTTTGGAACTTTCAAGAGGTACCTTGGGCATTTCAAAGTCAAGCAACTCGATTTCCCACTGAACATGAGCTCCTTCAGGAACAGTGGCAGGTCTGGTCATGAAATGATCATATAAATTTCAGTAACTAAGTTTCTAAAAACATAGTGACTCAATTTAGAAAAGTTAACCTTGTAAATTTGTCATATGCATAATCTGGAGGGCAGGTAACAAGGGATATCTCTCCAGGAAGCATTAGTCGAACACACATTTCAAGTCCCTCAGGCACCTGAAGCATGTTGGAAAATTTAGAAAAAGCAATATTAAATCAATATAGCAGTTTAATATCCAAATAAGGAGTTGGAAACAGCACCACTGTTGAAGCTTATCAAAAGCAAAGAGATCTCACATTGACACTATAACAAATTTTTACTTACATCATTACCAACGTATAAAGATTTAGCAAGTTATGATGGAATATGAAGTACCTTATTTAGCTAAGTGTAATCCACAGGTCACCTTTTTTATGGAATCTTGGGGGTGTGATTAAATAATGACCACACGGATACAAGCACATGAAGAAATATGTATGAAAGGCTTGAACTGAAGATCTTCCCTATGTACCTGCACTCACTACGTAGGTGTTTGGTTTATCTGGACCTTTTCAAAAAACTTAACCATTTCCAATTAAGGTAAAACCAATTTCAGTGTTCTTTGCATGATCAGAAATCTTACTAGAGGAATTACCTACATTTAAGTGTGAGCATTTAATAGTTCAATAGTTTAACAGTTTATTCAGATAAAACACTTAAAGAGAAAAGGATACTACAGTCTAGTTAATCTCCAATGTCCACATATAAAGATTTAGCAAGTTATGATGGAATCTGAAGTACCTTATTTAGCTAAGAGTAATCCACAGGTCACCTTTTTTATGGATCTTGGGGGTGTGATTAAATAATGACCACACAGATACAAGCACATGAAGAAATATGTATGAAAGGCTTGAACTGTAGATCTTCCCTATGTACCTGCACTCACTACGTAGGTGTTTGGTTTATCTGGACCTTTTCAAAAAACTTAACTATTTCCGATTAAGGTAAAACCAATTTCAGTGTTCTTTGCATGCTCAGAAATCTTACTAGAGGAATTACATACATTTAAATGTGAGCATTTAATAGTTCAATAGTTTAACAGTTTATTCAGATAAAACACTTAAGAGAAAAGGATGGTACAATCTAGTTAATCTCCAATGTCCACGTCTTGAAGTGATGCCTCAGCAATTCATGCCAGAGGTTAAAAGGTAAAGTGCTTACAAGCCCTTCTCCAGAACTGAACTCCAAAGGCTGGCCATAGTTATCAACTCTAGTATCATAAAACACAGTCTTTTCTTCATTAAGAAGAATTCCCTTGTAGTGCACCCTCAGCAAGCTGTCATGAAGAGGACAGTCCATTGGAAATTCACCTATTCATTTCCAAAGATTCATAAGTCATATATTACACAAGAATCTGAAACAAAGAGATCTGTCAGTAATGGCATCTGAAGCTAAGATTTATACATGAAGATTCTCAAATTAACCAAGGAATAAGAGTAGAAGCATAGTTTATGTCAAACGATAACTAATTCATATGTCATTACTCAGTAACAGATTACTCATTCAAAAATGACTGATAATAGCAGAATGACATCATAAGTACATAAGGTAACATATAAGAATAACTTGTCACCTATATAACTGGCAGCATTCATATAAATCACATGTATATGATGCTACAGTTTAATTGGAGCACATCAAACTTGCCATACACAGTATTGATGCACCAATACATGCCTCAGGAGTCGTCTCAAACACATGTGATTCATGACAATCAACCTACGACCATCACCATATTGATACACCAATGGCATACGGTGTATCGATACACTAAGTCGTGGGATCAATTTCAGGATTTGGTCCGACAAACATATCATATTGATATACAGATATATAGGATCGAGGACACCGATTCACCACTCGTGAAGGCCGATTGTTCGTTTTGGTAGTAGAATCAAGTATATCTACACATGTAATTACTTAATTCATTTGAATTTTAAAGTTTAAGTTGTATACAAAATAATCTAACAATTCAAATAATTTGTCTATAGATAATTCAACATTAACGGAAGGATGATCCGGAACAGACCGAAATTGCGAACCTTGCACAAGGCTACTTCTCAAAGCCCGTAAAAGATATGTGGTACTATTCTTACCTAATTTACATTACTTTTGCTAAAACTATACTAAATGTATATTTATTTCTAACTTAAAAACTGTATCATAACTTTTTTCTATTTTTCACGTATTTTCAGAGGGTTTTATGCCTATTTTAGACGTATCGGTCGATATGTCGTACCGTACCGTACCAAGCAAAGGTCAGTACATCAGTACGGTACGAGATTAAGAACCTTGATTACAACCATCCAAAACCTAAATGTGATTGAACTCAGATCTAGGAAGTCACACCAATAACTAAACATGGTTACATAACGTATAAATATTAATTCAAGTGTTGTAGATCCGACTACCTTTGCAGTTATGACAACCAAGTTATAAAAGAAGTGATATGTTGAATATCTACAATTAATCACGAAACAAAAGGTGAAACAAATTTCACCATAGCTTAGAAAATAAAAATCTCTTTTGATGGTTACACAACTAGCAAAGGCAAAGGAGAAGCAGCAACGAACTCTTTGGAAAAGACTAAGCTTTTAAACTCTAAACGCCATATTATTATTTGATGAACAGCAATATAAGAATGAACCAAAAAAGTGTATATCCATTTTTATACGGATTTAGAAAAAATATTTTCATAATTATGAAATATTGCAATGTAGTTAAGCTACATTTACATTAGTAAAATAATAATTGGTACTACGTGTTAATGGAAGAGGCCAGGAATAAATTCACATCATCATTTATGAGAGGCTTATGCTGCTAGCATGTCATCCAGAAGAAAATATGACATTTCCAAACTTGCCACCAGACTTATTCCATTTTGACCATCAATTGTCCATGTTGTCCACCATTTGCAGAATCTATGCAAAAAAATCACCATGATTTTTGTTTGAGCTATAAGAGATTCGGCAATAACATCAATTAGAGTTGGTGCTGTATCCATTTAATATAATTTGCCGACATATACAGATCCCATCTAAAGATCATGGTTTTGTAAAGTTACAATGTAATCAATAGACAAATTCAATGTTACCTGGTTTGATGTGTCTTGAGCAATGATGTGAAAGGGAAACAAAGTGATTCATAAAAACAAAAACAAGCACTAATACTGACATGAACAAGTTTTCTCCATGCAACATATCATTGAACCAAGCATAGTATCAATAAGATCACTAAAATGATGAATTTGAGAAATAAGATTGACAACATAAAGAAGAGACTCCTCTAATTTCCATACATGGTCTATATTAGCACCATTAATGTTGCAACATAAAACGTCTCAAAGTTCAGTAAAACAAGTTTCCATGATTGTGATCTATTATATACTATCAATATGCACATGTTTCCACCAGGTCCACTGGGTGTCCCACTAATAACCAGTGTACTGTGGTTATGTGCATGCATATACTTCAATAGCCAGATCAATAGAAGAATAACTCACTAGGAATTTATAGAATTATATAATTTCTTACTGCCTGATATGTGAAAAGACAAAAATACAAAAAAAAGATTATTTGAAAATCTGATATTTTGATAGAAATGTAATAATTATCTTGACAAGTTACAACCTCGTCCATCAACAATCCGGCGCTTTATAAGACGGCCATCACCAAGCATGTCCCTTACCTGTTAGCTGATGACCAAATATTAGACCCAAAAGAAAATTGGTAACAAGAAGACATAAAAGATCACTCATCAGAGATATTGTCAAAGCTGCAAAGATTAGTAAAAGACATGTAGGCTTACAATTTCACATGCCTAACAGTAAAAGAAAGTGAAGGAATAAAAGAATCAGTCTGTATGAGAAGTTTGGTAGTCATATAATTGGTGTCTTGACTCTTGTTTTGTATAACATACTGTATGCTATTTCGACAATCTAGCCTATCCAGGAAAATGAATTATTGTACAACCACTATAACATGACTGACCATAAAAACAATGCAACATTTTGGGGAAAAAAAGAGTGTTCTCAGAGTAAAAGGTACAAAATAAACCTGTATAAAATGGATTAGTTCAACTTCAAACTGGATTTCTTCATGATCCTCAATCATAGGCATGAGAGAAGATTTTGTCATGTAGGTTTTGCTCAAAAAAATTGCTGCCTTTTCTCCTCGTGCCATTGTCCCAATACCCATCTCAAGCCCTTTTGGTAACTACAAGCAAAAAAGTTCAACATAATGTCATCCAAATGAAAGGCAAATCAAGATGTTACACAACAAAGCACAACCTTAGCATCTACTCATTAATCAGAAAATTTATCCGCTTATTTAAACCTAAAAGTTGAGAAGTGTAAACCAGTTAAAAAGGCAAGTTAATAGCAAACTATTCAAATTAGCTTAAGAAAAATTCTCCAAAATTATAATAGCTGCAAATTCCAGTGAGAATCACATTCAACATGGCCAAGTCTAATATGATTCCAGCACCTGCCAATCATCTGTATCAACGTTTCAAATCACAGTATCATAGTAACACTACAAAAATGAAGGTAACAGATATTCCAAAAACTAGAAAGAGATTTCACCAACCTCAGATCTACCAAAGGTAAAGGAATATGGATCCTCTGAATGTGACAGAACCAATTTTCCATCGATTGTCTTAGCATTAATCCTGAAATTACCAGAGCAGGCATCAATTGATAATATGTGACAGGTGTGTGAAACTAGAGTATCTAGAGTCAGATAAGTCATAGCTGGAAAAAACAAACTAAAGCAAACAGAAAACCATTATACAAACACATTATACTTTAAAATGAATCTGCAGCAATAAATATAGACATTCACTAAAAATTTACCAAAAAGAAATGATAAGTTTTGTACTCGTACATGCAAGCATGTCATTCTACAGAATGAAGAGTATATGAAGATCATAAAATGATTTTTTCTATATAACTTATCATAAATAATGAACTACAATAATCAAAATATGCACAAAAAGTAGTTGCCAAGTTTGAGCAGCCCAACCATGACAAAAAGATTAAAATCTGGTTTTATAAGAACTCTATGATAACACCTAACATTACTGAAACTACATTACCATGCATCACATGACAAATACCAGAAATACAGTCTCCAGCCTACCTAAGATTGCTTCTTAAAGACGCCAATCCATTAATGCGACAATCACTGATTTAAATAGCTGCTCGGGCGCTTGCCAAAGTGCTCGAACAAGGCGAGGCAAGGCCTGAGCACCTCGTGTGTGCACCAGGCAACACGCTTCAATCAGGTGCCGCCTGGGCGCTCGATTCTATTAGGCAAACCGAACCGGTTTAAGGCTGGTTCGGTTCATAGTTTCTTACCTTAAAACCACGCTTCATGCTCGCGCGACCCCGAGCAACCCTAGTGCTGCTTCTGCCTCCACCGCCAACGCTTCCTACCGCTGCCTTCGCCACAGACATGGCGGACCGAGCCTTCCTCTATTATCGACGGACGAGTCCGACAACCCCCGTAGCTTCCTTCCACTATCGCTATCGCTTCCTTCCACTGTCGAGGGAGAGGACCGCAGGTTCCTCCACCACCGACGGATGCCCTCTGGAGCTTCCGTTGCTACCGCCGCTGCTGCCCACAACTTCCGCCATTGCCGTTGTTGTTGTCCGTAGCTTTCGCCGCTGTCACTGCTACTGTCTGTAGCTTCCCTCGCTGTTGTTGTCCACAGCTTCAGCTGCTGTCATTTGCAACGCTGCCGCAACTATCTTAAACTAATCCTTCGCCGCCGCTGCTATCTCTCTCTGTTATTGTTAACATTTTTTTCTCCCCCCTCTGACTTTAAGTAATATATTGTTAACAATATATTTTTAATTTAATATCATATTTTAATTTAAATAATTATATTTTTAATTATATTATATACTTTTTATTTTTTTAATATTTCAGAGAATTTTTTTTTCTCCCCCTCTAACTTAAGTAATATACTATTAACAATATATTTTAATTTAATATTATATTTTTATTTAAATAATTATATTTTTTAATTATATTATATATTTTTATATTTTAATATTTCAAAGCATCTTGTTTTGCTCGAGCAAGCGTCTTAGGTGTTTTGGGACCTTAACGCATTTTGGCGCCTAACGCTTTTTAAATCACTGACAACAATCATGAACTTCTTAAAATGCTGAAACCTCATGTGGTATAGCATGTAATATAATATTTACATACATACGACACTTAACCATGCAGCATTACAACATTGGCCGATCAAACCGTGTTAAAAGATCCACTTCTTCCAAGTGGCATCTTAGCTAAACCAAAATTTAGCACCTCATCAACAAAGAAGCTCCTTAACTTCCAGCTAAATGGCTCAGCTGTTTTCATGGCTGCTCAAATAAGTAATGCACTTCCCATCAATGACCTAAAGCAACCTTAATCAGTTCAAGCTTAGGGCCAATTCTAGATGTCAAATTACGTACATACAGGAGAAGATTTAGCTTTTTCAATTCAGTTGGATGTTCTATTTCAAATCATTCAATTGCCTTGTGTTCTTGTGATTAGACTGGAAACATAACAAAAAAAGGAAGGGATCAAAGTATATTAAAAAAATCCAGCCTGTAAATGTAAACAAACACATTGTTGAATTAGTCATTGCACCAAGAAGAGGATATATGCATATACATACCGAGCTTCCACTTCATAAGGTTCTCTTGGACATTCCCATCCTTGTCCTTCACTAATTATCTGAAAATATAAGGAGATGAGATGTGAAGTGAGGCTAATACACAAACACATTGCTGTGATGATTATAGGGCTTCAGCTATAAGGATAATGATTATTAACACAAATAACAAAAAACTAACTATTTTCCTTATATTTACATTTGAAACATGATGAAAGAATTGACTTTATTTGCAAAAAATTTGTTAATCATCCAAAGGCAATTCATGATTGCAGAAAACAATTTAAATGTATATACATATGTATATGAAACATTAACATTACATATTAATGTTGTTAGCTTAAGATGCTAGAGATGGAATGATCTGGATTTTCATACCCAAACCTCATGAAGCATAGATAATGTTATCAGAAGCTAGACTCACTTTAAAAGTATTTTATCTGTGAGAAGAAAGACTACCTCCAAGATAACTATGGACCCGGGAACATCAGAAATAAGCATTCCATGAATACATGTTCATCCTTTTTAATCATATATTTTATTTCACATATGTTTCTCTGAATGCACTAAAACAAATATGATTTACCAATTTACTCTTGATTTCTTCACTACACTGTCTGCAGTATCTTATAGGTTATTATCTGCAGCATGATCTTCAGATATATGACAAATTATTATAGAACTAATGCAATGTTGAGAAAATGGTAAAATCAATTCCTAAATTTAATGGGAAAGCAGCCCATGCAGATGGGCTACACAGCCAATTATTTCATATGAAAGCACAACACTGTTTTACAAATGCTGAGAGTTAAACCCCTCTATCCCACTGTTCTTCTCTGCATATGGCGTTTAGTTATATCACATATTAATTTTAAATTAGCAAAGCCACAAAAAGTTTTTAGACTAACAAAACAGAACATGAATGGATTGTATTAATGTCTCCGTGCAATGAAAGAAGACTTTATATTTAACTACATATATCTACTTAATAAGTGAAAGGTCCATAAGACTGCTAGGTCAAAGACATACCCATGACTAGAAGTTGATCTTCTCAGTAACATGGTTCAAGGCTAGATACCCTGATTTCTTGTTATCTTACAATGAAAATTTCTTTCAGAATATCCTTGTATAAAGATTTTAAGAAAGAAGACACTAATAGTCCTATTAAGTGCAAATTTTGTCTTACAAGAATTAAAAAAAATCAAACAGAAGAAATGATGCCATCCATAAAAGAGTTGGTAACATTTCCAAACATGTCAGGTTCTCATGCAATTTCAGAAAAAAAAAAAAACAAGAGCAAAACAGTCTCAAAAAGCAGCCTAGTATCTGCAGTGAATCACAAAAAGCAAACACCTATTCTTGAGCATGCAGAACATATACTAATTTCTTCCAAGAAGATATCCAATGAGATATATCATCAAAATGACTACTTCTGCAAGTTCTGAAAACTTGGCAAATTGAAAACAGTACTAAACATAAGTCTGTATACCTTCTTCACGACTCCCAAATCTTCACCAACAACCTGGTATAGAGAGCAAGATGACATTAGAAAGGGAAATATTTTCACTTAAACCAACATAGGTAAATTACTTCCTACTGGATGTCAATGAACTGCAAACAAAATTGTTGTGCTACTTCACAATAACACTTTGTATGTGGAACAGATAGGTTGAATTTTGTGCATAAAATTTTTTTTGGCATAAAAATATGTTTAGAATCAAAACAGAAGCAAAGAAATAATAACACATAATGATTTTGTGAGAATAAAAAAAGAAAGAGGCAATGCTAATCATGATTGTAGCACTGCAAGAAATGTTTCACAAAGATATCATAAAGTAAAGATGCTAATATATCCGACATGTAATTCATATTCTTACTTTAACTTTATGAAAATCCAGCATCTCAATTTCAAAGTGGAGTTCATCATTCTTTGGGAAGTCATCTGAAACTGTAACTGGACAGTCCTCCTCAGCATAGTGTATCTCAGGTTTCATTTTGAACTGCAAACAAAGGCCATTAAAGTAAAAATAAAAAGACAACCATGATGAAGCAATAGTATAGGTAACTCTAAAAAGACAAAAGGTATGCTTCCCTCTAAAAAGCATTGCCATCTAATGAAACATCACTTATGGTAATGTTAAAATGTGTTTGCAGATATACCAAGGATCCATATGTAATGCAAAATTATTGTTGAAGTTCATTCGCACCCAAAAATATGAAGTATCCTATTTCAAAGTACATGTCCTAGATACGTAGAATGTGGTTCCATAAAACAAAGTAAATCAATTGCAAATTGACAAATAGTCAAAGAATTATCATCACCAAATTTTTTAAAAAATCTACATAAAAATACAGAAATCTTCTAGATCCAAGTAATACACTATCTCTGGCAAGAAGTACATATCCTGGTCAGAACTTGACAGTAGGCATGCTCTCTAGAAAAAAAAAAAAGAAACAAATTAAGCATAAAAACCAAAAGAAATAATCAATTAATAGGCTATATAAGCCTTATGTGAATTGCTTGTCACAAAAAGGAACGTTAAACATGAAACACACCAAGGTTTCATTTTCCAACAGAACTCTGAGTGAGAACCATATGCAGATCACTTGGACAACACCTTCAAAGTGGTAGGTAGGGATACCAACCAGAAACACAGACAACAATGCAGAGCACGTTGAAGAACTCCATATAGGATGTTTATAATAACTTGGACCATGACTAAGATCAAATATAGAAAGTGCAACTTAAGCAACATAGGGAGAAACTGAACTTTAAATTAGATAGACAACAAGAAAATTCAAAAGCAAAAGTTTTAAATCTTAATTGTATTATTAAACTAGAAATGTGACCATTACAAGTTTAATATCTATCATACTTGATAGATCAAAATATTAGGCATAGGAGACCATAATAAAAAAATGACAACAAAACAAGCTGGAAAGTATGTACAAGTTCATTAAAAAAAATGGATAAAAAATGTCAACATATGCAAAACATTAGCACTACTGAGGTTCAAATGAGAAAATTATTTAAGGTGGTTCATCTCCAATGAAGAACCAGGAAAGCACTTGTTAGGCAATGTGTTATAATTCTCATTTGTAGTGAATGAATCAAAATAGTTAGGCCCAAAAAAGACTATAGAAATAATACGGGATTTTATGGATCTTGATTTGACTAGTGATATTTCCCTTAACAGAGTCTAATATGACCAGCAAAATTCAAGCACAACAGTAGCAAGTATAATTGCTTTAGATAAGTGGTTAAACTTTAAAGACAATATAATACAAAAAACATCTTTTGGTAAATAACTGTACAAATGAACCTTTTGCCTAAATAACAGATGTCACAGTCATCTGCTTAAAATTTGAACTAGAAAACCAGCAAGATAAAATGTATTACCAAGAATTACCAAAATGAACAACAAAAAAAGGAAATTACCAGAACAATATATTATGACCTGAGCCTGATGGGCTAACTAGCCTATCAACTTCGTTTGGTCTAAACCACTGACCAAAATGCTTAAGCTGAAGTTGATAATAGTACACTCATCAGACCCTTATAAGCCAATCTTAATCTTGTCCACTTTCGATGTGGAACTAATCAGGGGTGTTACACAATATGTGATAATAATTACTTTAGAAATATGACTTCACTAGGGATCGACAGAAAGAGCAAATAGCCTCAACTTGATAAAAAGTATCATAGACAACTTAAAGGAGATACCATGGCTACTTCACCCTTTGTCATGGTAGGAATGCCTTCAAGAAACCCCAATATCGTCTTGCTCTTCCCCAAAACATTTCTTATAGGATTTCCCTTGCCTATCATGTCAAACAATCAATCATAAATTATAAAAAAAAGCTTTTGCTTAGGCACAATGAAGAATCTTTAAATCTAGTCAAATGTAATTAGCAACTTTTCATGTAAAGAGAAAAATATTCAGTAAAGTCACACCTATAAACAAGTGTCACATTTAGATTTACCAACAGCTGCTGGTGGCACATTGAAGCGCAGCGGACATTCACATTTTTCATATATTGTTCTCTTCTGGATGGGCCTATAAAAACTAGAATTTTTTATATATAGATGACACTCCTTTTGGATCAAACTATTTAATTCCTTTCATTTGAGCTTTTTGGACGAAACACATTTGTTAGATTAAATTGCCTTGAGTTACTGTCCAACAAAAATGGCTGAATCTCAAACCAAATATGTACACAAATAAAGGCCCGTAATGAGATAACCAGGTGGTTCATCGCACGGTAGTTTGACACATAAACTAACCCACAGGATAAATATAATGCTAAAAAAGCCAAAAGGCTTTCTAAGCAAGAACGAACAACAACCTCATCCAGATTCTAGCAAGGCATAACCTTAAAACTTCTTTATGCATGTGAAATAGCTTTGCTGTATTCATTTATGTAAATTGCTTCTAATAATATATTTAAAATTAACAATTGAAAACGAAGATCATCAACAACCAACTTTTCCATCAAGGACTCACACTTGAGTAACTAGTCCAAACCCAAAGATAATGACCAGAATAGTAGTTGATCTTTCTAGGCCCTCAACTTCCCTGGAAGATCTAGCATGCCAATCTCATCTCACATGGGCTTCAACCGATGGGAGCTGACATGCAGCCAAGTACTCCTATGCTTGATTATTCACATGCAGATACAACTCAAAATGTATCGTGCAAAAAGGTATCAGCACATGCTACGTCAACTCATGCTAGAGGTGCCAACATATGACAAGCCAATGTTTGGCATGCGACAATTGGCAGAGGGCAACCAACATGGCAGCGAATTACACTATGCAAAAAAAAAAAAGGCATGCGCTCCCATGCCACAAATCAGGAATCTTTAAGTGCAGCAACCAAAACAAGAAGTAAACACTCCTACATTCATGTAGGTGAACATGCAACTGAACAGCACCCCCAAGCGTAAGAGCTGCACATACTTATATATAAGCCAAATAGTTCATTTGATAAGTAACAAAATCATAGAAACAGTGAAAAAGAGAAAATGTAAAGAGACTGGAAGTAATATAGACGATGAAGCATGAGACTTCTTAAAAAAACACCTGCAGGTAGATCCATAAATAAATATTCACCTCCATGTTCTAATCTTGTTGAATCGACAACAATACCATCTACGGTCCGAGTGGTGCAATGGAATATAACCTGCAACGCAATTACAATTCTTTAAAGCCTAAGAAGGGTGTATTGCAATTGTCAAAAGTGGCATGTTGAACAATTGAAACAGCAATAAAGCTATAGATAATGTTACACTGAAGCAGAATGTGGAACGGGTTCCAAGCAATGACAGAAAGAATAATCAAGATGGACGAGAGAGTTTACTGCATTATGCACAGAAAAACACAGTCTCCACTGGACATCCTATAGATATATACAAAATCAATTCAAGAAAACAGTAAAAATGTAAAATCTGATTCAACCTGCAAAGCTTCTTTTTGAAATATGTAATAGGTCCATGATTGTCCATAATAATGAATCAAATTCCGAGGTCGACTAGGAAAGCTATAATTCAGCAAGCACAGTCATAATGCACCAAAACAATATATCAGCTGATGCATGCACTTAAGTTCAGATCTCAGGTAGATGGATGCCATACTAGATAATAAGATTTATTACCTTAAGCTGATGAAGAAAATTTCACAGTGAAAATAGTTTTGAAAGGTAAAAATGCATTTATCTTTTCTTAAGCTGCATGCTGGTTCAGTTGATCCATCAGGCCAGGTCCGGATCTTGGACAATGGTAGCTCGATGGTACAATTTATTCAAAATCCTTTCCTTACAGACTCGACAAATTCGCGTAACTTGGAAAGCCTAAGGGACCCAGAAGTTAAACAAAACCAGCACCATGATTGAGACCAACTGGTCAAATGAAACCTGTTAAAGCCTAGATATGTGATAATCTAGATCCAAGCAAATATGTGATTGTCAATTATAAGTTCTTCCTTGCTTTCAATTCATTGATAATCATTTAAATGTCAGATAATCCAATGAGTGGGTAAACCATATTACATTAGATCATACCTAAACTTAACATAAAGAGAAAATATAGGTTCAATTTAACTGTAAGTCGATTTTCCATGAGATAAAGCATTTAAAGAATGGAAAACAAAATAAATGTACAAGCAAAATTCATCCAATTCGGAGATCCCGTACTATTTAGCAACAACTATCCAATACAATAGAAGAACTCTTAAAATAAATGAGAACAACAGTGTTTAAAGCTCACACCCAGAAAAATGAAGTATAAACCCACCTTTTATATAAAGATATGAAGTATAAACCTATAAGAAGCGGTGGACAAAGAATTATAGTACCTGATCTCCCTCGACAGGCTTCTCTTGGCCCTCTCCTGATCTGATAATTGCTTTCATCAAACTTCCAGGAGTAATTTTTTTTCTCCTAGTAAGTAGAAGGTACCAGATTGGTCAATTCAAGAGCTAAATGAACAGGCTCCAAACGACCAAATGATGCTACTTAACACGAGAGGCCTAATAATTTTAAATGAACATGTAATTATTATGTCTTAGAAAAATGAAATAACAAATGGAAAAGATTGTCCTTCCGTTGGATCACAGTTTTTGAGGAGATGATAGACTTGGTGGCACAAGAATAATATGATTAAGAGATAGGTGCGTTCACAATTTCGCAAATAACAAATGTATGACATATCACAAGCAGCATGAATTAAATGTTAAGATAAAAATCCAGCAAAACTTGGCATCAAAACTTTATCAAAAAATTTTCCTTTCTTTCCTACAGGCTAAATGTGTGAACTCACACACAAAACATTCTCTTGCATTCAGTCTAGCTGGAAAAGCCCAACATGTGAAAAGGTATGACCTGAGCGGAAAAAATTCATTCCTGCACTAAAATTCAATCACCTGATTCACAATTTGATTCAACAGTCAGATTGAATTTAACACAATGCATAAAGAAGCATAAAGAGCATGCCATTCTACGAATCAGATGCTCAACACATTTGAGCTCAGTAAACAATCAAGAAAAGCCAGGTTTGCCAATATGTAAGAACCAAAATTCGTATCCGTAAATGTTACATATTGCCACTTTCCGGTTGGCAAATTCATTTACGATTGCAAATATAAACTCTAACAATGGAAAGATGCTAAACATCATCCTTCCAAAAGATCGACAAGAGGACAAACATACACCAGAGAGCTCTAATTAACATACCAAACTTTTTTCAAATTTCTACAGTAAATAATCAGCAAAAAGTGTTGTCTTTTTTTCTGGTACTACTCAAGAAACACTTTGTACTTGCGAGAATCCAACGATTCACAACTGTGGAACTTGTCTGCTGCCAGAGATCAAGTTGGTTATGATATCTTAGACCGATTCTCATTAATTCTAACTTCCACAAGAGCAAAACCATGAAGCACACAGGAAAATTTCTAGAGGGCTTCAAAGGTAATGCAAGGAAGAGAGGAAGAGATTTCCTAGTACGAAAAATTGCGAATTTGGAAATGAAGCCAGAAGAGCAAAAATAACAAATAAAACAAAGAGGAGCAAGAATTAGAGGGGCAACCTCTTCTCGGATTCATCGTCGGACTTTTTCTTCTTCGTGGGTGCGAAATTTTGATCTGGTAAATCGTTCTCGGCCATCTCCTCGCTTTCCTCCGTACGGATCTTTCTCCTCCTCGAATCGAACGCCCAAAAGAATCAAGATCGCAAGGGGCCTTCAAGAGCTAAGGGAGTTGCGGGGACGGCGGAGATCGCGACGCTTGCTTCCGCGTTCTTCAATCCTGTACCGAGACTGGACCACATGCGGGCGGAGGCACCCTCCGGGTCCTGGTCCAGAGTCAAACCGAAGTCGGCCTGGACAGGTTGGGACCTCCGTCTACCCAAGCAACACGCACGAGCACGACACACAAGGCGAGCGGGTGGAGAGACAGTGGCAAACGAACCGAAGCGGCCCAGTTAAATATAGACCGGTTGGATCGCACGGTGAACCGACACCGAACCCCCACCGTGCCTCGCCGCCGGAGATCGCCGCTGCTGCTGCTGCGGGCGCCGAGAAGACGGTGCAGGCCGGCCACCGGTGGTTTCTTGTTCCTCTTACATATAAACAACCCTAACCGTAAGAGAGATCGGAGAGCAAATGGGAGGAGAGGGTGAGAGATGTTTTCCTTCTGGTGGCGACTCGACGCGGTTCATCTGAACCGTGAATCAGAGAAGGATTAAAAATCGAACCGGCCCGTCGATTTGATGGTTTGGATGTCAATCGCTGTTATGCAAGGAAAACTATGTCAACTTTCAGTGACCATAATATATTATATAGTCTTCTCCTCTATTAGAAGACTTATGTTAATGTGATCGTTGTAATATCGTTTATATACGGACGGTTCAATCTAGATTCACAAATCCCCATTCTAAGCAATTTAACTCTGCCCATTAATTTAATGGTGGCAGCCAACACAGGATATATATATAGAGAGAGAGAGAGAGACAAAGAGAAAGATGACACACTTGTAGCAGCTTATAACCTTACGCTCCGTCTACATGCCTTGCTTTGCCTCACAATTGCACCAAGAAAGCCTTTAAGCAACTCGGCGCGAGGCCGATCGCCGAATAAGGGATTGATGCGATGCAGCTGAAGCTGGTGCAGATGCGGCATAAGAAGAAGAAGAAGAGGAAGAGAAGAAACCAGACATGTTGAAAGCATATGACATGCTTACACTGGGTTACTTACACGTAAGATTTCTTCCACATCAGAGAGAACCGTTGCCATATCTAAGTTGTATAACAAAAAGAGCTGTCATATTCTATGGTGAAACCAAGACAAAAAGTGTCGATCCGACCCATGGAAATCAGAGGAAGGGGAGAAGAGAACCTTGGAAACTTGGATTCTGTGGGCTATTAACACCACCTCACACCTGAGTCCTGAGGAATGCAGCAGATAGTATTGAAGACAACGACGAGCATTTACGTGATCTTGTTCTCCACTTGCTGTAAAATATAATATTTGACTTGAACTAATCTTGGCAGCCAAAAGAGGACAAGTATTTCGCAGTTTCTACTGATGTGATGATTCACATAATATCAGGTCCCGACATAAAAACCAAAAAGGGGAACAAACAATTCACAAAAAAGCATTACTTGTAGCCAGGTTTTTCCTCTGTGGAATCCTGGAGACAATTGGCATTTTTTATACTTTTGACTTATATCTAATATGATTCAGAGGAAAAAGAATGGCAACCAAATCATGATGAAAATTATGCTCACAGGTTCAGCCAAAAAAAGGAACAAAGCTATACTTCTTGTATTATGAATAAAGCTTCCCTATGAACTCGGCATCGGTGGCTGTCATATCAGAAAGAATAGTTGTTAATTGTAATCTTGATCACGCCCTTTTTAGAAGAAGAGACAAAAACTAAATGGCACAGTTGAACCAACAGTTTCCCTTATGCTACAGGTAGATACTCACCTGGTCACTTGACCGCAGGGAGTCGGACGGAGAACAAATTGCAGATCAAAGAAAGTACACTGGTTTTCCTGTTTATATCCACGAGTGACCATTGTGGCTGCGGCAAACATGAAAGAATGGTTACATGCATCTGCATGCCTATTGATTGATTGATATGTACATGTGCATATAGATCAATAACTACTGATTCTAACAAAACTGCTAAACAGATCCTTTTCTATAAGTGAGTGATCCTCATGTTGGCGATTCCGCAAGAACCAAAGTGTGCCACCAACCACATGACACGTTTTTGGGCTGGAGGTTCTCTATAGGAACCACAGAAGGAATGTTTCTGTCAATCGAGTCCCCTAAACCAAGCTGTGAATGGAAAGAAAAAAAATTATAAATCAATATTGGAAAGTCGAAACAGGACTTGAATGGCATGAAAATGGTACCTGGCCATATTTGTTCCATCCCCAGCAAAATACTTGACCATCTTCTGCAACACCACAAGTGGTCATACCAGATACAGTTTGTCAGTTCATGTTCACATAAAGGTCTTATAGGAACATGCAGTAAACTTGGTTAACAAAATTGAGTTAGATTTTTAGAAGAAGAGTTGGAGCAGCTTCCAGATACTACATTTAAACAAAAAGGTAAAATAAAAAAAACAGAGATCTTAAGATTCTATTAAAGTAACTTTTTTTTATAAGAAAAAAATATATCGGATCAGGCATCGAACACTCAACCTTTGATAAGTAGGTCTGCTACGCTATCACCAGACCAATGTTTAAGGTTAAGGCAACTATATTGCTAATGCAAAAGCAGCACATGCCAGTTGGAACCAGGTTGAATGATAACTTTGCCTTCAAGCATGTGAAACTAATACAGTAGGTGCTTTTGCAAAAGGAGTCTAGGAAATTGCTGCTTCATTCAAATTCCTTTTTTTTTTTTTTGTATTAGTATTCCTTCTTGCTCACCTCAAGTGAAAGGGGAAGAAGGCTGAGGGGTGGGAAGTAGAACAGTATATCCTAAATTACAATTGATATAAGTTTCTGTTTCAAAAGTTTAAAATGTATACGCATCCACTAAAACACCCAATGGAAAAGTGCAGGTACAAGTTGGACCAGAATCTAAAGCACTAAAACAAACTAACATGATCGGACAAGCTTAAAATGATACCTGTCAGCATGGTGCTATGACGTGCTCCACAAGAGATCAATTTAGCATTCTTGTTTTCCAGACATGGCGCATCCAGTTGCTTGGGAAGAGTCTGTAACCACAAACATGATAAGCACACCAATATCTAATTATCAAATCTTGAAGTCATGCATAAATGTTTTAAAATACTCCAAATTAATGCCTATCATTATAGTGCCTGTCATGTGCCAAATATATTCTAATTACACCTTTGGCTCATTAAAGCATATACTGGAAAAATGTCTGTTGACTTTGCTATGTGAAAAGTAATTGTCGCGATTATGAATGACATACACCATATTTCTTCTGTTTTTAACTTGGAAGTCATAGTAGTTGTGACTAAGCTCTTGAAATGTTGCAAAGGCACACATCAGATATTGAGAACTATATACCTCATTATGCAAAAAATGAAAGAGTAGTTTGTGATACCACTGTGATGAGAACTATGTACCTCAGCTTGATCAGAACCAGTTCCTAGCTGCCCAAACTGATTCCCACCGAAGGAATACACACCACCATCAACAGACGTACACACGGTATGCCATAGGCCAGCAGCAACTCCTTGTATCTCGACACCCAAAAGTGATGAGACACATGTTGGACTCAGCTCATCGTCCGTACTTCCTTGTCCACACTGAACAAAAATCGCATATAAGAAGGCAAAGAGAAAAAGAAAAGAACACAAAAGGATCAATTAGTTCTTTCCTTAGATGTTTCAAAGTAAATCCACGATCGAGAGATAAGAAGGTAATTTCACATGTTAAAGTAGACCACTCCATTTTTTATAAAGTCCCTACATGTGAATCCTGGACAGTTACTAAGACTTAATAATGAACAAGGACAATTTTAAAATTCATATACATATATACGGATTGAAGTGCAAAACACCCGAGTTGCAAGGAAACCATATTCAAAACCATCAAATCCTTCCATGTCTCTGAATATCTTTATTGACTCAATAAGAAAATAAATGTAGCATTATCCATTCTACCATATCCAGAATGAATGATAACAATGGATTCTTCAACTCGATATGAAACCAGGTATATAAAAACAGCAAGTAGTCTAATGGTATCCTATCATGTATATGCCTTTGGATTATAACTAACTTAAATGGTCAGGGAAAAATTAGTATGCTCAAGGTTTATGTACCTGGAGAGAGCATTATATATTTTAGAGAGCATCTTTTATTGTCAGGAAAAATGTGAGAATATATTTGCAACAACTTACATACTTTAGAGAGCATCTTATATTGTCAGGAAAACTGTGAGAATGTATTTGCAACAATACATCCAACGAAAGCCTTGTATTTCAAATACTATGCAAGAAAAACAGTTCATAAATAGTTCCCCCAGCATACAGAATTCAAGCCACAATAAAGTGAATTATGCACCTTAATTCTCAGGTAGAAAATAAAGCAAGCTAACCTAAGTTGATGTAAGCTTACTAATATCCATCAGGTAGAATAAAATTCTCAGTTACTATGCAGAATACACAAAACAAGATTTCCATGTGTGCTGGTTCATTGACATGCCTACTAAGAATCTTGCAACAATTTGTAAAATTCATGATTGCAAGGCTGACAAGAAAAGTACGGTTAACGGTTGCACATGAGTACCCCAAGTGCTAATAACCTATTGAATGAGGAGATAGGATAAATGAAGCATTTACCAAATCATGATTTGCTAAACATTGTTGATTCGCTGAAATTCTAACGTAAATAAAGGATCCAACAATAATCATTGATCATGCATCAAAGTTGTGGAGAACCTCAATTATAAAATAAAATAAAGTGACAAAATAGATATGTGTCATCCGTGGTGCCAACATAGATAGGCATTTGTAACTCAAGATGACATAGTTTCTTTTTTTTACTATTGAAAATGTCTTGGCCATCAAGTAATCACCTGCTCATGAAAATCGAGTTGTTTTGTGTTCATGTGTCTGTGTGTGCATGCGCGGGTAAGTGGGTGGGTGAATTTTGTGCTTTTACTCTCCTTTTTCATCTTTTTACTATTAGAAAGATAGGAAAGTATCTAAATTTTAACAATTGCCCTCTTTAGTTTACAAAAAGGTACCATTGATAAGTAATGTCAGATGACATGACCTTGCACAAAAAAATCACAACCATAAATACCTTATTGTTGAACTTCATAATCCATACAGAAAAAATATCAAGAAAAATCAGGGGCACTCAATTCACCAAGTGGACTGACATGAAATTTAGGTGGAGTAAAACCATTCATGCTAGTAACATAACTAATGAAAATCACATGATGATGATGACGACAACGATGATATATGGGTATATGATAATTCCTTAAAATATAGCATAAAAGTTTAGCCAAGAACCATTTAGACTAAAGGATAATTCAAGGCCTAGTACAATATCATCCCATGACAGTGTCACATGGATATAGACTCACAGGTGAGATTTAAGTTCAGCCCAATCTAAGCAAGCAAAAACAAAATTTAGAAAAATATGTAAGATAATTTTTGTAAACTGAATAGTTGTGGTTCAAATTATGTTGAATGTGAAATGTAAGAAGAAACGCTTGTAAAAATGAAAATTAAAAAATTATCACTTTTGATCTTGTTATATTACATGAACTTTTAAATCCCATTATAAAAAAGAGTTCAATAAGCATCCAAGTCAAGACTGCATATTACACATGGTTAATGGGGGTGGAGACAAGAATCCGTTAACCCGTTAATCAATTTCCACCGTCATGGACTACACAATGGAAAACTAGGTAGATAGAAGGAAAAAAAAAATTCAAAACTCAATGTTCAGCATTCAATTACCAAAAACTAGATTCTCTGACAAACAGCACTGCAAATGAGTAACTAACATATATGTGACAATACAACATACATACATATCAAACTTAGGCTACAGCATATTGTTGAAGTAATAGTGTAGATAGTCCAAAAGCAATTGCACCATCTGGGCCTACTTAAGAATATAATGCTCGTGTTAATAATAATCTCTCAATGATATAGTCCCTGAGAAATCTGGGAAAAATAGGTAACAATGAAGGAAAAACGACAACCGACAATTGAACTATCAATCTATTTGCAATGAAATAAACTGAAGTCTAACCTGGCCATAAAGTCCCCAGCCAAAAGTAAGTAGGGCTCCTGTATCTGCAAGTGAACAATATATCAATCAACATGTGTGACAATAAAGAGATGGAACATCTATTAGGTATTATCCACTCATCATGTGACATCCTGCTAACTGTGTGCAGGCTAAATTCTAGTCAAGGATTAGAGCTTCGAAGGGAGAGTATATGCAAGTTGTAGATATAAAAGGAATCTTTATTTAAGGAAAAAGGATATGCACAAAATAAAGTGGAGAAATACGCAACAAAACTTCTTGTCAATAAAAGAAAATTTACATTAAAAGATCCTCATGTTACGATCTCCTGTTAATAATGCTAAATCCTATATTTCCATCCTTTGACCATTTACAAAATCAAACCCCTACTTTCCTCTATTCAAACTTCCTCAAGATACTCAAACATTTAACTATATTAAATATATCGAAGTCAATTCAAGTTTCAAATTCACAATTGTTCACCTTGTTAGTATTCTCAATGTGCATCTTTATTTGTATTCCAACCTATTTAATCTGCTTTATTTCATTAGAAAATTTAGTAGCTATTTACACAATGCAATCTAGTAGCCTATTCCCCTTGTTGCTAGTATGTTGAAAGATGGTAAAAAATCATGTCATAAGCTGCTTGAAGTCTTCCCCCCCTCATCTTAGCTTATGATTGACATGGCACCAGTACACGCATGTTCTGGTGCTCACCTGACACACAAATAGATGCATGTATCTACATAGGAAGAATGCAGGGTTAGCATTATTATATTTTCTAGCTAAAGAAATGAGTTCTAAAAGTATGTCAACAGAATTAATTCAAAATCACTGAAAATGTGTGTCAATTGACAGTAAGTATTGTGGCAGAAAAGAAGTAACAAATGAATACTGACCTGTAACAGCAGCACTGTGACGACCCCCACAAGCAATGGCCTTTATACAGGTTCCTATGAGTTTAAAAGCCTGCCCATCTGAACCTTGTTTCCCTTTAGTTGCTGGTGATGATTGGTCTTTAGTAAAAGAAGCTGACTCTATACAAGGTACAGGATGAGGAGAAGACACATTCCGGATACGAGTACCCAAACCAAGTTGCCCTTCCCCTCCATAGCCCCAACCCCACACCTGACCTACATCTGAAACTTTGTGAAAAATGCAATGTCTTAGCATTTGTTTGTCCTACAATTTACAAATCTAGAGGAGGCTAGAGAATAAGAAGTGAAGAAAAGGAAACAGCCAAATGATGCGGAAAGTTATATTATGCAGAAACTACATAACCTTAGATCAAGGAAATGGACTTACATGACAATGCTAGTGTATGACGTCCACCTGCAGCAACACATGTGATACGGACACCTACATTAAGATTTACAAGACATGGAGGTGCTGAAAGAGTTTCTTCACCAGACGAAGAGCTTTCAGGTCCCAGTTTAGCTGAAGATAACCTTCTTCGCTTTGTATTCTCATCACCACCTCCACTATCAAAACCTGACATAGTTCCAGTAGTTCTTGAGCCCTGTGACCTAGGCATCACTGCCATGGAGAAACCACGAGAACAGACACAAAAGAATGTTAAACTAAAGAAGCTTTTTTTTTTCTATTCGAATCATCATAGACAATAAATTACTGGTACAACCATGGTCACTCATAAATCCACTATGTCTTTCCTCTTTTTCTGAGGCTCCTCCAGAGGAAGACTGGTCTCTGACATTCCTCCCAAAAGGCACGCACTCTTTCCATCCCCATGTGTAGACTTCTCCTTGAGCTGGCCTAGGAAGGTAAATTTTGAGTTTCCAAAAAGCTCAATGATAGCTTCATTTGTCAGATTATGCAACATAAAATATGTAGCATTCAACGCAAGACAGTCACTTCTTTTTCTTTTTTTTTCTACTCTCCATGATAAAGATAGAATATGAATATACTAATTAAGATGTTCAACTTTTTTTCTTGTATGACAAGTAAAATATTCCACCAAATATAAACAAAAAGTGCAAGTAGGCATACAACCTGTGACTGCTACACAGTGAGCCCACCCCGCAGCTGCCTTGACTATGGGTACCTTAGTTGGGAGGTCAAATACCTCAGGAGTCTCCTGATTAATGCAAAATGTGAGGCTCATCCATCCAAAACATCGGGATGCAAAGAAAAAAATAAGCATAAAATATTAAACACGATGCTAGTTGAAGGGATTCAAAAGATGGCTTAATTACCTCATGCTTCCCCGAAGTAACATAGCTTTGACCCATGTCATCTGTAGAACCCCATGTAAATAGCTTGCCTGACTCTAATACAAGAAAGAAGGCAGCAGGATAAGTTATTACTCAGTCAACATTCAGATCTAATAGAAGCTATCTGGGCACCAAAACTACCAATGACCACAAGGTCTTTGGACTGTCGAGAAAACCAGCATCAGATTTCAAAAGGATTGATAACTTCATCAAAATGGAAAATAATTCCTGACTGTCATTATTCTGTGAAAATTCAGATCGGCGTTCTTCATCAGCAACTTAATCGTGCGTAAATATTTAAGATGTTAAAAGGTTGTACTTCAAGCCACCAGAAATTGAAACCACTCTGAGCCACACGAAAAACATTCTGCTTGTGAGGATATAAACAAAGCACAAAATAAAGAGATCATCGTTATCATCAAAGACAAACTCAAGACATAAAAATGATTAAACGGAAAAAAATTTACTCAGACGTATTATCTAAAATAATGAAAAACAATAAAAATGGATGGGAAATCTAATACTAAAAAATCAGTTCAGTAACCAAGGGAAGAATGCAGTCCAAAAATGGAGGCTATCAAGATGAGCAAGCCCAAGTTCGTCGCAACATCTAAAACACAAAGAAGGAAGAAAATCTACCTCTTGAAAATGAGGGTTGCAAAACAAATTTAGAAAGCAAAAAAGCTCAAAGCCCAACCAACACGAACAAGCATCTAAAGATCAAGGACGTTGGCTCTCTGATAGGAGAAGACCGAAGCAGAAAGCGCAAGCAGAAGGGATTAAATAGTAGAAGTAGCGGCCGATACCGGACATGGCCATGGCGAATCCGCATCCACCGCCACTGACATCCTTCCACCGGTCTCCTGCTGGCGAATCCGGCACTCGGACGGCCACCGGATGAAGTAAAGGCGATCTCTGCGGCGACACTCCGGGAAGGTAACCCCACATCAACACCGTCTTATCCCTCCCCCTCGCCTCCTCCACCACCATCATCTCCTCCTTCCCGTCCTCTTCCATTTCCTCCCCTCCTCCTCCTCCCCCCTCCTCCCCACCATTCATTTCCCTCCCCCAATCTATCTATCGCTCTATCAATCAATCTCCTCAACCCTTTCTCGGCTTTCTTTTCCCCCTCGATCTCCTGAGGTCGACTTCAAGCTACGCTGATATTTGCTCAAAGAAGCAGGACTCAACAACATCAACCAAGATAGACCAAACACGAGAGAGAGCAGAGGACAGCCCTAATTCACCCGCATCAATTCGTGCTTCACGGGCCTGTCCACGTAGGACGGACAAAAGGGACTCCGAGACACGTGGGTCGACGAAGGCCGCTGGATGACCCGGGGCGTTCTTGGCCAGGAGTTCCCAGGAAGCTTCTGGAAGCTGAAGGGCCCATCCGTGGGAAAGCCGCTCGCTGCTCTCGCCACGCCGAGGCTGATTCGGGAGGAGTGGCCACCAACACCCCACGTGGCGATCCCAACCGAGACGCGGGCTGGGTGGCGCCCGTTCCCTCCACTTTTGATGTGATTATTTTTTGTTGCTGTTAGGTTTGGAAGCTTCGAGACAAAACGGGGGTTAATAATAATATTCTTCTTGTGGAAGACTTGCTGAGACTGACCGTTTGATTTGGACGCGAGAGGCGAGCGGGATGGCAACCGCCCACGATTACGAGGTTTCGTTTCGTTCCTTTTTTGTTGCTGTCTTAGTGCCGTTGACCCAAGTGTTCAATCCTCAAGTAAATATTTATTTTGGGGGCTTGTATCATGATAATAGGATAGCCCGAGCGGATAATTGAGATGATTGATAGGCTCTCGAGGTGTTATAGGCTTTTGACGATTGATCCACGATCATCTTGAGGAGTAGCTTATTTGTTGGAGAAAGCTCGGGTCATCCCGAGATGTGTCTTGGTTTTCTGGAGGTGCCTAGCATTGTTCTGATGTGCTCCTTAGACACGCCTAGGTCCTGTACAAGTGGTTGGCATCGGAGAGATGTCTTGACCCGATCCCTCCAACGCTCAAGTCAGTAGAGTATATGGAGGGGGTTTAGTAGAATTCAGAAGAGTTGAGATAGAGACCGCTTGCCCCCATTTGGCTTGGGAGCCTGAGTTTTATACCTGAGAGATCAATGGCGTGAGACGAGCGATGGGCAAGGGTGTCCCTTACCCTGCTAGGAGATCATTGATGGTGGTAGCTGACGAGCATGTCCTTTGAAGGATGATATCAGGGTAGGATGCCCGTAATGATATGCTTTGTCATAGCCCTTGGCCTGTCATAATGCTCGGTGTCTTCTATGCCCGAATATCTTTGTAAACTGTGTTCTTGTCGACCGGGGCCATTAATGGCCTTTAAGATGGCCAACCGGCTTGCCGCCACCCCAAGACTCCTTTTAGGGTCCACTATGAGGGGCTGACTCAGGATATGAGAGTGTGGGAGAGCGCCTCGGTCGCAAGTGAGTATTGTTGGGGGTCGCTCAGCCTTACTCTGAACAAATTGGTGTAATACACCCCCACAAAGTCTTTAGTCAACCAATGCAATCGTAATGAGGTTCCGGTAGGTTCTTGCACATGGGTCCTTTTTTTCCATTGCTCCTCGACATTGACCCATCCATTTTGAACAGCATCACCATTACATGAGGGGTCTTGCTGACCGAGCGCATGACGTCAAGGTATTGGTGGACGAATTGTCTCGGGTGAATGAGGGTCTCCAAGAGAGGGTCGTCGAGTTAGAGAAGAGGCTTCTCTCGTCGACTGAGGATGCTCCAATCGCCAAGACAATTGATTTGCTGGGGCAGGCTTGATGATAATTGGAAGATGCCAAGCAGCGTCTGGAGGTCCTGTGACAAAGGTTGGAGGACACTGAGGAGAGGGGCCACCATTTGAAGGACTATTTGTAGATGCACTTTGATGAGTTGATGGCCACCAGGATCAAGGCCCAGGAAGCTAAAGAGCTCCTGGAGGAGGAGCGATGTGAAATCTTAATTTGGAGATAGGAGCGATCGTGACATATAAGGAGTCAAAAGGGTTCTAACATGGTCTACTAAAATCGAGAAGGACTTCATATCAATACAGGCACCTTTTTGCTTTGGGGCATTTCAAGGTCAAGTACCTAAGAATAAGCGTCAAAGAGGACCCCTTTATTCAGTGGCCCAAAGATGTTTACGTCCCTACGGAGGCGTAGGTCCCCTTTGACGACAGCCCTGACTCGTCCTCCTCTTTTGATTGAGTGCTTATGTCGACGGTCTCCGTTTTTTTTTTTTTTTTTTTTTAAGGGCTTCCATATGAGTCCACCGGATGCAGGGCCTATTGTTTTTTACGAGCCCTTAATTATAAGTGTTGCCTGTCTCGAGATGATGAGCCCCCTCTAGGTCACTTGGTAGGGGCGCTCTCAACTTGATGTCACCTTTCTTTTGGAGTCAATCGGGTTGCTGACTTCAGCTTTTCGAAGGACCAAGTTTCCTACTCCGACCTATCGTGGTCGAAGACACTGATTGTACAACTTGGCTATCATCGTCTTATACCTCAAGGATCAGAGGTGCACCTCGACCTTGAGCTCCATGACCAAGTTCAACTAGGCTCAGAGTTCCTCCTTGAATGTGGTTTCATCGAAGAATTCTGCTTGAGGAGTCGAAAGGACAACCTCGAGTGGAAGGGTTTGCCCGAGCTAGTTTTGGGAGTAGTTCGACACTTTACCATGATGCCTTAAGTCGGGGGTTTCTCCTTCATGGTGATCCCATGGTTAAGCCTCGAGGTGGTTCTTAGCGCGGTCCCTTATGGGACTTCTCGTGCCGACTCGAGAGCATGGCCTCAACAGCCACATACTGATTGGCCCTTCGTAGCATTTCAAATATGGTTATGGATAAAATTTTCACCAATAACCAAAAGAAGCGGGTGAGCTTTAAGCCCATCATGAAAGCCTAGGTCACCGACGAGGGGTGGGCATCAAGGACCTCTTAGATCTCACTGGTGAATAGGTCGATGAAGCAGGAGAGAGGCTCATATTCCCTCTGTCTCAACCCGAGAAGCGTGGCTGTGGATGGCTTTGGACACACATTGGTAAGAAAGTGATGCTTGAACTCCTTCACAAGCTAGGGAAAGGAGGTGATCGAGAGGGGTCTTAGGTGGTTGTACTACTCTCAAGCTGACCCCCTAGGATCATTGGAAAATTTTAACACATTAGGGCATCCAATATGTTGAATAATGACATCTAAACCCTGAAAGCTGTAATGTATTACATTAGGTCAGAGCTACCGTCAAGGGCCTCCAAGAATAGGAGGCATAAGTTAGTCAGGCGAGGCTCCTTCTGGATGCTTTGAGCGAACAAGGAGACGTTTGAGGTGCAGGACTCGCCCTTCAAGTATAGAAATTCTTGCTATACATCGTTCAGGCGCTAGTTCATGACTCAGAGTTACACTTTGAGTGAATCCTCCATCGAGTCGATGGTTTGTGTCCCTGACTTCGGCATGGCCACCCTATGGCACAACGGGGCACTGAGCTCCATCGTCGAGGGTATTTGTCCTTTGGGAGCCACCTCAGCTTATCGAGGGCATTCTGAGGGCACCAACAAGGAGTTCATCGAGGGTGCTCTTGGAGGCGAGGGGAGTAGTGAGAGTTATATTGTTGGTCATTATCTCGGAGTTACTTGTTGCATCAATTGGGGCAAGAGAGTGGCGATCGCCCACATCATGTTGGCAAGTGTCTACACTTGATGGGTGAGGCCCATGAAGGCATGGGATGGGATGAATAAATGCCTTCACTCAATGTAGCGCTTGAGTCTCACATATATTGAATTACAACTAACATACCATAGAAGCATAAATAATATGTACATATTATCCTCATTTTATAATATGATTTGTGATGTTTATAGTTCATGAATGCGATAAATAATATACTCGTGTTTTCGGCTTTTAAGATTAAAGTACATGCTTTCTAAAAATGTCATTCTTACTATTCGACATAATGTTGGTTGAGCATTCATAAATACCAATGTTTACATTATGTATAGCGTAAGAAGCCAAAATATGTTAGCGGACTTAATATGAGGTTAAGTTACCTTAATATTAGGGTGAAGCACGAATATTTATATGCGAGGATCAATAATTGAGATGAAAAATATCTTGAGTATTATATATTTTAAAATATTTAATTATATGTAATGTCATAATATTATTGATACCATGAAAATATATGAACCTTGGGTATTTTTCGGATTAGATATGTGAATTTTAAAGGACTAAAATCTGCATTTAAAGAGAAGGTGATTTTTATGCTTCTGGGGATCTATTTGTAAATATAGAAATACAGGGATTAAACTGTAAAAGTAAACAAGTGGAGCGATTCTTGTCCCACCGCTTCCCATGCACCTCTGTTCCCGCACGAGGAAACAAAGGAGGTGCAGTGTGTCGGTGGAAGAGAAGGGAAGGAGAGGAAGAAAGAAGAAGGAGAAGAGAAGAAGAGAAGAAGAAGAAAAGGGAAAAGAGGCTGTGGCTAGGGCTGCGGTTGGGAGAGAAGGAGAGGAAGAAGGGAAAGGGAAGAGAGAAGAGCAGGCGACTGCGCTCCTCTGCATTTCGCATGAGGAGCTGTGGCTGTGGAAGAAGAAGGGAAAGGGAGAGAGAGAGAGAAAAAGAGGAAGGAGCAAGGGAAAAGCAGAGAAGGAAGGTAAGAGGAGTTGGCGACTACAGCTATGGGAGAAAGAAGGAAAAAGGAAGAGAGAACATCGAAGGAGGAAGAAATAAAAGAAAATACTGTGTGTAAGATTAAAGGTTTTATGCCATTATGTTGTGTTTGCTATGTGTAAGATTAAATATTTTATGTTATTATTTTAAAATACTATATATTTGACATGATTTATGCTCACCTGATTAAAGTTACGAAGACTTATTCTGAATAAATTACTATTATATACTATATTTTATAAGTAAAGATATTAGTATCTCACCCAAGTGATTGGGTAGGAAAGTGAGTAAGTGCAAGCTCATGTCAATATAGATATGGATGATGACCTATAGGTAAATTTTGTAAGGTGCTTCGAGCATTTATTAGGGGGAGTAGTGAATGAATATTATTGTGATATTTGGGTCCTTCTTTTAGTACCCAAATGTTATTTCCTTGATTATCGTTGATCGGAGAGTCAATAGAGCATGGTTTGGTCTCAAAGGCGTAAATCCATCAAAGGGGCCCATATCGAGGTGATAAGGTTGGTCAGAGTGGGCAA